TGGTGCTGACAACACCAAGTCAAGGGTTAAGATCCCCTTACTGGTCATCTTTTTTAAAAATTAAAAAAAAAAAAAATATCTATCTATCTATCTATCTATCTATCTATCTATCTATCTATCTATCTATCTAAAAGAATTATCTGCATGCTCCCTGGAAGAAAAAGTGCTAATTTTTAAAAAGTGGCTAGTTAAAAAACATGTTGGATTTTTCCCATTAAGTATATTATTAAACTCTGGCAAAAAAAATTCAGCTTTTCACTAAGAATGCTGCCTTGTAAGCCATCCTCATCAAAAGTGTCCTGCTTAACAAAGGCTTCACATAAATGTACTTTTCTCAGATTTTTATGTAGGTAAGATCAAACTTATAAAGCTACTTCTGGGAGGGTCTAATGACAGAAAAAAAATTATAAGACTCCATCAATAGAGCTCTTAACCCAAGTGCTTTCCTAGTCTACGCATGTGCACTGCAGCTGAGAATGAACAATGACCGCGAGCACACAGGGACTGCAGCAGGGCCCAACAGGGACACTGACATGACACGGGGCTCAGGACCTCACATGACAGGTGGCAAAGGTGGGGAAACTGAGGCACGGTGCAGTTAGGTAACTTGCTCAAGGTCAGGCACCTCCTCATGGCACAGCCGGATTCGAAACCAGGTGTCTGGTTCTCGCCTCTGTGACCTGCCTTCCACGAGATGAGCACCGGGTCAGAGCTCAGAGGCCCGTCAGGAAACCACAGTCAGCTCTTAACTGGTTGTGCTCTCCAATCAAAGTGGCCGTCAAGGGGAAAATCCCAAACTTTGTTTGAAATCACACTGCCTTGACTCTCTTGCTGGTATATTCAACAGGGCTGACCTCGTTCCAGTGGTGACTGCCCTGAGGTCCACCTTCTCCCCTTCCCCGTCTTTCTCTACCCAGTAGAAGTGTGATTACATGGAAAAATTAAAGCAGGAGGAACGGAGGAAAGCAAAGGCAGGGCTCACAGACGTTGGAAATCGTGTGTTATTTAAAATTTACTCAGTCATTTATTCCAGTGTGGACAGAAGTCCTAGGAGTCAATTACGTGGTGTGAAAGCTACTGTACTACTATTTTGTTAAAGAGCTTTCTGGTGCTGCCTGTCACACACACTATCTGCAAGTAGGATGTCAATCTCACACTGAGAACACAGACGGATGTTTAGCTTTATTAGTTAAAAGAATATGCTAAGATTCAACCAGACAAGGATTTTTAAAAAAATACTATAATTATTGTTAAACTTTTATAAACAAACGTTAGGGTTAATTTAAAAACATTTATATATGGGCATGCAACAGTACTCAAATGCCTTATAACATTAAATAAGCCATTCTAGGTAATTATTAATGTTGCACACAAAAAGCTGCTCATGCCCGAAGCCAGTGGCAGGTTGGCCTGGCCCATCACCTACCGTCCATCTGCATCTTCTTTGGCTGCATGGAGGGTGAAGACATAGAAGAAGTAACCCGGAAGTTTGCAGGAAGAGTCTCTGCTGATCCAGCAGCTAAGCCACGAATGTCCTTTGGTCTAAATTTTTTTCTCCATGAAGGTGCTCTCCTAAAGCTTTTATCATCGTCCTGGTAAATTAAAGAATGGAAAATAAGATTCATTTAAAAATAAAGGACAGAGCTATGGAGTTAACTGTCCTTTAAAATGACTGCTGACCTTGCAAGTGTATTCTTGTTCACATGTATTTAACCCTTTCTTTGATGATCATACAATTATTGCCCACACTAGAACTTGAGTGTGAAAGGGGGCATGTTCACGTTCCTGCTGGGTCTTAACTGGCATAAACGAGGACTGTCCTGGACCACCTATCCTATCACCATGTTTCACCTCTTATCTTGCAGAAATCACTTTCTAGCTATATAATACATTTTTATGTGGCCTTCTATTCCCCTGGTCAAACTCAAGTTTTCTGAGGGCCGGTAAAGATAATAATAGTGTGGAATAAATGAGTCATGGTTTTGTATAGCGGAAATTAACATTTTGTGTTTTTTTTTT